GTTCCTGTATTGCCAGAACTTCCACGCAAAAATTGAAGCCATAGCCACCACCCACAATACTAAAATCCAACCTCTTTGCCAATTCTCAATTATTAGGGATTGTAATTTACACACTGTTCTTCGGAGCAAATTTTGCGGCCTAAATGAACCAAGGTTCTGACTCCAGCCTATGCTTGTTGTGCTCAATTGTCTGCTGTAGTTTACATATGTGTCTTTTTGTAAAAGCAGTGTTTCCAACTGCCATAACTGTGCAGACAACCCAAATTAATTAGAAATATCCTTTGAATCTAAAGTCAATGTTATATTATCATAGATGGTTACATTATCTTGGAGGATCTATTACAAACTCACTAGATTATTATTGTTTTGGTGCAATTACAATTTTTTATGAGGAATAAGAAATATATATGAAGTCAAAAATTTGTGAACATGCATAGGTCAAATTAGATTTCTTTTTCAATTTGTTAATCCCCTATAATCATAAATTTGTATGTTAACGTCAAAGCAGGGAGTGAAATTAATGGCTAAATTTTATATTTAACAAAGTAAATATATATATCTAATTAATGAAAAATTGTCATGATTTGAGTATGAGTTTTCTTTTGGTTTATATGTTTTACCTCAATGTATCCAAGATTTTCTGGATCAAGTTCTTCCATGATTAAAGAAGCATACTCTTCAGCTTGTTCCTTGAGTTTTGAGAGCTTGTTCGCGGAGGCACTAAGCATTAAAAGCTGTGTTTAAAAACAGTAGAAGTAACATCATAGTCAAAAATTTTATGCCAAAATAGAATCATTGTTATTTTATCTGTGCATTAATGGGCACATGACATAATATGAACTGTTATTGTGATGGCAACCTTTTTGTTGTCTTTTATTTTGTTAAGTTGTAAATACAAGCTAAGCTAACATATACCTCACACGACAACTTTTACTTATTGGTTCGTAATTGTTACTTACAGAAAAAACATGATGTATAAGTAGATACTGGAAGAGTGTTGGGACAAATAATCGGACAATAAAATTGCAA